TTTTTTTTCCCCAGGGCCTGTTTCCCCAAGGGGGTTTTTGGTTTTATTTCTGGTGTTGGTTTCTCCACTTTTTTGGGGGGGGGGGAAAAAAGGGGCCGGGCCCCCTCCATGGTTGAAAACCAAAACCCCCCATGCCCACTCCCCGCTTTTTTATTTTTTTAAACCCACCCGGTTTTTTTTTTTTTGGGGCCGGTCGGGATTGGCGAGGGGGGGGGGGGGGGTTTTTTGATGTATTTAATCCCAAGGCCCACTTGTGGTCGTGCCCCACCATCGGGCCCCTTGGCCGATTTACGATGTGCTGCGACTCACCTCATTGTTCCTCGAGCCCCCCCCAAGTCTGCTGCCCCCCCCAAATTCCCCCGCCATGATACATTCTGTACTCACCTCAATTTTCCAAAATACCTCAATTTTTCCCCTTTTATCCCCTTCACACCCTAAATTTAAAGTTTAACCCTTTTTTTAGAAATTTCCCGTTTTTGAGAAAAAAAAGGGGGCGTGTGTTAATTCCTCGTTTTTCCCTTTTTTTTTTAAAGTTTTTTATAAAAAAACTTTTATTTGCTATTTTTCCCGTTTCCTTTTTAAAGGGGTTGTACGTTTTTTGTTTTGTGGGTCGGGGTCGGACCCTTGGTTGACCACGGCAAAGTCACCCGCCTTGCCTTTTAAATTTTCCGGGGGGGGGCCCCCTTTAAAAAAGCTTTTATGCTCGTCGCTGTGTTGTTTGCGAAACGTCCTGCTACGATTCCCTCGAGATTTGTTTTACTTCACCCCCAGACCGTCAGGTGGTTATATGTAGGAGAAACAAATCTGGGGAGTTTGGCAACCTTGCTATAACCCAACTGTCGGGATGATACTGTCAAGCCCCAGCCCGCCTGTGGCGGCCTGTGTCCTCGTGTCACAAGGTTTAGGAGCAGCCGCCAAAGATGTGTACTTTGATGCTAGCTGCTCACTGCAGTTGGTGTTGTGTTTCGACTCCCCGGTTTCGCCCCTCGTCTCTGCCACGACTGCTCCACAATCGCCACGTTCGCCGGCAGTGACAGCCCCCGGAAGTAAGTCGGAAATTTTTCCCGAGTCGTTGCCCGAAGTCCTGCCCGTTGCGGTTTTGTCGACGCCCATCGGGGCACCGCTGTCGTGCCCCCGGTTGAGTGAAAAAAAGGGGAGCGCTCTCGATGTCGCTTCACCGTTCAGGGAGACCGACCCCGTTACGTCCCACAGCCCCAGGATGCTCCCCTGTTGAGTATTGTCAGAAGAGGAAGGGTGCGGTGCCCAGGACGTCATTGCCTATGCCACTTTTTGCAACCCAATGTTTTTTTCTTCCCCCCCTGTAGGAAGTTTTTTTTAGTCCTTGAATTATGTTTTTATTTTTTGGGTTTTGTGCCCCGTTCCTAAGAGGAGCCCAGTTCTTTTTTTTACCAGTTTGTCGCGCGGGACGATCGGGTGGTGGCCGAGGTTTGTAGACGTGTCTGTCTGCACAGACAGCCATGTGTCTGCCAGCTTTTGTTTATATTTTTGCGCCCCTCAGGTGCTGCATTTAGGCCCCTTTCCCCTTTAGTAGCCCCGATTGCCTCGCCCCACCCAGCGGCCCGGCATCAAGACACAAAAGGGCCCCCGCTCTCTCTCTGGGCAGGCCTCCCCGGGCCCCTGGGCCAAAAACAAGCGGGTAAACCCACCTATTATCAATAAAATAAGAAGCCTCCCCAAAAAAGTTTTTTATTCCCCCCCTACCAGACTACCCAAAAAAGCCGTTTTACTAAAACCTGCATGGTATGGATAAGCCCCAATATGCGCTCAGGGAAAATTGACATGCAAATTTGGGGGTGTATTGTGTTCCAAGAGTTAAAGTGGGACATAAAACTTTTTTTCCTTTGGAATTTCCCTGCTAATGCTTATAACTGCATAAGTTGAATACCAGAACCAAAAACCCTGATATGGCAAATTTTTTTTGTCGTCATCGACAAATTTATTCATTTACCAAGTAACAACACCTGCAACAGAACACTGCCTGTGAACTGATGAACAACTACCCTCTCATGAGGATTGGTGATCACTACCAGATACAACTGCCTCCTATTACTTTGAGAAAAACTGCTCAGAAGAGGTCTTTTGTCTGTGCACATACAACAAAACACCCACAAAAACGCAGACACTCGTTTTATGTGTGAGCAGTGTAAAACACCATTGTGCATGACGTGTTTCAAAGAATTCCACAAGCTGCGGCACTTCTAGGACCATGTCCAGTGACTCTATATGTGTATATATAATATGGAAAAATAGTAATAACAACATTTTCTATTGTGTAAACACATTTTGTAAACAATATAATGACAACAATGTTTGTGCAGTTACTGTGTAGCATACAATGAGTGAATTTATATACAGTGTGCCTTATATTGATCTCATAGGCCATAAAAGTTACTCGAAAAAAAAAAATTAAAAAATAAAAGAAAAAAGTTAAAAAAAAAATAAACGATTGCTGCAGGACCGACAGTTGGCGATGTTGCCATAAGCAGTTCACTTTTTGTCACCTTCACACCTCTATATCTTGGTAAGTACTGATCATAAAAATTTTTTTTTACTAAAACACTTAGGAAAATAATCTTAAGATTTTGCTAAGAATTTTTTTTTCGAATATTTTTCGACCCTCAGTGGGACAACAGGATTGAGGCTCTCAACCCTCAAAGGGTTAGATGTCCCTCCAAACAGCCAATATCCCAAACCCCTTCTTTAACCCTTTGACTGTTTCAGGCCCCTTTCTGAAACTGTCATTCTGTCACTAAATTTTTGAAAAAAAAAAAAAAATTATTTTTCTTATGAAATGATAGAGAATCTTTTCCCGATGGTAATGACACCAAAAGTTTGAGATTTGGTCGAAAACTCATGGAAATACGCTCCCACGAAGTTAGAGGTCTCGGCGACATATGCGTATCGGCGATTTTGCCGACTTTGAGCCCTATTTTCAGCCAATTCCGTTGTTCCAGTTGACCAAACTCATAGCTATTTCTTTAGAACTCCATTTTATCTATCTGCTGAGTACAAGAAACCTCCCATTTACCAATCTGGACTACCCAATATTGTGGTCAGAAATTGGCAATTTGGCCAATTTCACGCAAACTAAAAAAGATGCCAATTTCAAAATAGGGTCCAGAATAAACAAGGTAGACATTCTTGGCACTAAAATAACATATCCTCTGTTCATTAGTCACATCTCTAGGCCCCTCTTATATTATTATTGCTTTCTATTTTGATTTTTTATTCATACAAAAAAATATAATTTACTGTTATGCAGACTACTGCATTATTGTAAAAATGGTATAAATAATATCAGTGCACTAGTGAAAGAATATTAGACTCCCCAGTTGACGTGTATTGGACGTGTGGTGTGATTTATTTACTCCTGAACATTGGTAAAAATCGAACATTTCCGCTAGTTTGAGCTCAGTTTCAAGGTCGTTTTCATCGTCAAAGTAATAAAAATCATCTCTATTTCTGTAATATCTTTTCCATTTTATCACCTAAGACCATGAAAACGCAAATACATCGATAAATACTACACGAAAATACACCTCAAAGTCAGCGTTTTAATCCAAAAAACAATCATTTTTTTTTTTCTCTTTATGCACTGTGTGCTGCAGGATTTTTTTTATGTGGTGCACACTGACCACACAGACCCATTCTCTCACATGTGGGCCTACCAGCTTTCTTCCGCTTGATTTGAAGCCGCTAGAATTATTGAGTATATATACGTCTGAAACACTGGCTCGTAAGACGTATATATACGACAAAAACAGTCAAAGGGTTAAAGTGCAGGCATTGTACTTCTCACTTCCAGGACTCAAAATAGGGTCTAGAATAAATAATGCAGGCATTCCTGGCACTAAAATAACATTTCCTGTTCATTAGTTACACTTCCAGGCTTTACATATGAATTCCAATTACAAGTTTTATTCACACAAAGAATTTTTATTTGCCCCCCCAAAAAAAATTAGTGTTATGCATTATTGTAATAATTGTATAAATAATATCAGTGGATTCGTGAATGCATATTAGACCGACCAGTTGGATGTGTATTGGAGACGCGTTTTATTTACTGTGGAATATCAGCAAAAATTGAACATTCCCGTTACTTTGACCCACTGTCAGTCCTGAAACCAATCAAAGTCCTCACTATTTCTATAAGTACATCTTCCCTTTTATCAAATAAGACCAAGAAACTGAGAATACAAACATTAAACCAAAAACATGGTTGAATTTTTTTTCCCACTATGCAGGATTATTTTCATATTATGGACACTTACTGCATTGACTCATTCTCTCATATCAAGGCCCAAATTTACTGCACTGCTTATCTGAGTAAGATAAGCTCAAAGCATTGAACTATGGCACAGACAGATTGCAAACCCATAAAACTACAGCCCAGACAATAATGCATTTAAGTGCCTGTGGCCACATCACTAATACATAAACTACATCCCATAAGAAAACATTAGTCACTTAGATGCTTATTCTAAGAAGAGTCCTTACGCATGACTGAGTTGCATTACATGATTAGCTGAGCTCTATCACATAAATAACATGGTCCCATCACATGACTAATAGAATCCTATCAAAGGAATAGATGAGCCCACTCACAAAATTAAGTCCTTTTCATTGAATAACAGTCCTAGCATGCAAATAACTAATTCCTATCGCACAAATAATAACCCTGTCAAATGAATAACTAAAATTAATGTACAGATAAGACTGCCAACAAATATGTGACTACAAACACTGCAAAAGGCAAGACTTTATTGTAGGCAATGAGTCAATCAGGAAGAACATTATCCAGTTGCTTCTGTTTTGATAACTCTCACTTGGGATGAGCTTCATCTACACTAAAGATCTGTCCTTATGTGGTACCTTTCTTCACATTTAAAACTAACAGATGACCCTTTCAACAACAAAAGATATCGAGAATGAATGATATTTGTGTTAAATCAAAAAATTTAAGATGTTCTATCACTTACCTTTAGGATAAGAGCAGCATTAGTGCAGTATGACCCACAGGAAAACTGTCGAATATTAAGAGAAAGGCCTAATGTAGAGTCTCGGAATAATGTGTCTGCTGAGAGTTCACGTACTATGTCTTCATATGGAATAATGGAACCTTCACGCAATATTGGAGATTCAAAGAGGAGGTCCAAGAGAAGAGTAAGATATGGACGAAGTTCTGCCGGAACAGTTGATGTGTCTAGGACAGCAATTATCTGTGAATTAAATACACACAATGTGGGTTTGAACATCCAGCAGGCTTGTGTGAGTACATTATAAATGAATGGAAACAAGTGGCTTTTATTGGACATGCTGCTGGAGTCTGAGCAAGCAAACTTAAGCAAGGATTTAGGGAAAGAAGTTAGGTAAATTAGAGTCCTGGAGGTAGGAAGGGCATTGCCTGCATGCTGAAGGAAGGATGGGGATGTTGCAATCAAAGGGTAATCTGAATTGCGAAATCAGCACAGTTCTGGCCAGACAGTGACTAAATGAAGGATGGTAAATGAGATTTCTTTTTTGGATCATCCTACCTGTGCAAGGTAGCTGTTAAGGTAAAAAAAAAAAAAAAAAAACTGAACACATACACCATGAAACAAGCATCTTTAAAATACTGATATGATTCTATATGATTAAAGTGGACTATTAAACTGCCTCACTGATAATGTTTGTAGGATTTTTACCAAGTTTCAAAGCTTTAAATCCTCTAACTTACAGCAACATCTCTCTTTCTAATGGTATGTTCAATTTTTTTAACACACTGGCAGTCTCCCACCAAGGCGGGTGACCCATAAAAAAATAAAGAAACACTTTCACCATCATCCACACATAATCAGTGTCTTTGCAGAGGTGTGCAGATATGACAGTTCAGATGTCACTCCAAATGGCAAATATCCCAAACCCTTCCTTTAAAGTGCAGGCATTGTACTTTCCACTCCAGGACTCAAGTTTGGCTAACCGGTTTCCCTGAATCCCTTCACAAAATATTACCCTGCTCACACTCCAACAGCTTGTGAAGTCCCAAAAATTATTCATCAAAATTCACTCCTAACATGCTTACACATATCCTAAAATAATTGACAATTTGGCAATGTACAATCAAAATTGTTAGCATACAGAAATTTGCCCAAGTCCCTTGTTGATATTTTATTATATGTGGCAGGAAGATTTAAATGAATAAAAAATGGTACACAGCTGTTATAAGACTAATGTTAAGAGGTTCAATATGGTGCACCTATCTTCAGCCTTGTGTAATAAAGAAATTCTACGTCATTTGTGGTCTATTTGTCAGAAGTGTAATGGGAAATTTTGTTAATTTCCGAGCAGCATGTTATCAAGTACCTCACTCTGGTTACCGACCTTAATTCTCAAAGCTTAGTAGTCAACATTTTATTTCTTTTCTTGCTAAGAAGTTTGCATAAGTAATTGCTGTCTATAACACAAACACAGCTAAAAAGCTTTCCGTACTTACTTCAACAAAATTAGAGTGTAAGTCATCTAGTTGGAATTTGATAGGCAGCTGACTTAAATGAGTGGGTAGATTGGGTTCTGCCTGCTTGAGGCTGGGTTGATTCTCCAAAGGATTACTATAGGCCCTCAGATGGTGGAAGTTGATGCTCTCCACACCTGGAACTGGTACCGACTCAAGCATCTCTGCTGGTGGAGGAGTCTGCAAAATACGCTGAATGTCATCCAAAGAAAATTTTACACCTATGTTTATGTTCATCAGATTCATTTATTTATTTATTAACACATCAGTCGCTTCCCACCAAGGCAGGGTGGCCTGAAAAAGAAAAACTTTCGTCACTCCATCACTGTCTTGCCAGAGGCGTGCTTACACTACAGTTATAAAACTGCAACATTAACACCCCTCCTTCAGAGTGCAGACACTGTACTTCCCATCTCCAGGACTCAAGTCCTGCCTGCCAGTTTCCCTGAATCCTTTCATAAATGTTATCCTGCTCACATTCCAAAAGCACGTCAACTCCTAAAAACCATTCGTTTCCATTCACTCCTATCAATTCGTTCACGCATGCTTGCTGGAAGTCCAAGTCCATCGCACACAAAACCTCCTTTAACCCCCTCCCTCCAACTTTTCCTAGACTGCCCCCTACCCTGCCTTCCCTCCACTACAGATTTACACACACTTGAAGTCATTCTATTTTGTTCAATCCTCTCTACATGTCTGAACCACCTCAGCAACCCTTCCTCAGTCCTTTGGATAATAGTTTTAGTAATCTCACACCTCCTAATTTCCAAACTACGAATTCTCTGCATTATATTCACACCACACATTGTCCTCAGACATGATATCTCCACTGCCTCCAGCCTTCTTGTTGTAGCATTCACCACCCATGCTTCACACCCATATATGAGTGTTGGTATAACTATACAGTGGTACCCCCGAGTTTCGGCCATAATTCATTCCAGAAGGCCGTTAGAGTGCCGTTACCGAACGAATTTGTTCCCATAAGGAATAATGTAAATTAGATTAGTCCGTTTCAGACACCCAAAAATACACTTACAATAATACACTTGCATAGCTGTTCGAGTTGGGAGCTGTACATAACTCGGGGTACCACTGTACTGTCACATGTTGCTTCCAAGGACAAAGTTCTTTGTCTCCACAGACTCCTAAGTGCACCGCTCGCCCTTTTTTCCCCTCATCAATTCTATGATTGATGAGGGCAAAAGGGTGAGTGGTGCACTCAGGAGGCTGTGGAGACAAAGAACTTTGTTCATGGAAGCAAAGATTCATATAGAATAATTAAAGTATTTTAACTGTTGTTAATGCTTAACCCTTTGACTGTTTCCGACGTATAAATACGTCTTACGAGCCAATGTTTCTGACGTATTTATACGCATAAATTCTAGCAGCTTCAAATCAAGTAGGAGAAAGCTGGTAGGCCCACATGTGAGAGAATGGGTCTCCATGGTCAGTGTGCACCATATAAAAAAAATCGGGGAGCCAGTGGTGCATTGTGGGAATGCCATTTCAGTTGTCCTTTTTCAGCATGTCTAGCGGTAAGAAATATGTGATTCCCCAGCAAATCTGGGACTCTTCTCTTCCCAAGTGATGCTCTAACACAGATGGAAGTGTCAGTGAAGATCAATTTCATGATTTGGAGGAGTTTGAGACCAAAAGCAATGGAGGAGGAGGAGGGGGAGGAGGGGAGGGGAGGAAGAGGAGGAGGAGGAGGAGGAGGAGGAGGAGGAGGAGGGAAGAAGAGGGAGGAGGAGGAGGAGGAGGGGAGGAGGAGGAGAAGAGGAGGAGGAGGAGGAGAAAGAAGAAGATGTAAATAATATTGTTCCCTTGAAGCAAGAAAAAAAAAAGTCCACCCCCTGACAGTGACAAGATAAGGGGAGATAACATCTGATAAGAGCTGACTTTGATGAGCGTAAAGGAGGGTAATATTACATGACCATCGCCCTCCCTTTGTTTTTGCTGGTACACAAACATTTCTGTCTGTCTATTTGTCTGTCTGTCAAGCTCCCTGTCTGTCCATCTAGCTCTCTGTCTCAGAGAGAGCCACAAGACTGTGTCATCACGTTTACTCAACATCTTCAAGCAGAGTATAGCACTTTGTCTGGATTTCTTGGGTTATCCTAGGTAATTTACACTATGTATACTGTATTTATGTGTACCTGTGAGACAGAGATAGGCAACGATAGAAAGAGAGACAGATTGAAAGATATAGAATGAGGGAGAAAGATAATTAGATAGAATGGAGGAGGGGAAGCGCATCCGACCCCATTGTTTTGACAGGCGGTAGGGGGAGTAACTAATGAGACAATATGCCCACTTTGACAGCTGCCGACTTCTGACCAAAACAATTATAAGCCACACACTCGCACACAAGACAAGGAGGAGGAGAAGGAAGGAGGAGAAGGAGAAGGAGAAGGAAAGGAGGAGGAGAGAGGAGAGAGGAGGAGAAGGAGGAGGAGGAGGAGGAGGAGGAGGAGGAGGAGGGGAAAGGGGGGAGGAGGGGAGGAGGAAGGAGGAGGAGAGAGGAGGAGGAGAAGGAGAAGGAGGAGGAGAAGAAGGAGGAGGAGAAGGAGGAGGAGAAGGAGGAGAAG